TTTTTTATTAGTTATATGTTACTAAAGAATGTATGAAAACTGTTGAAACAGCCATAAATGATACATCTACTCTACTTTCGCTAAATGCCCATTAACACTGATTAAAAGTAATACCTAGATTTGCGAGAGGTATGTACATCGAAGTTACGTTTCTTAGAATCTAATTTAGTTAACTGACTCATAAACTCATTATGCCTATCTAACGTTAACTGATCTTCCATCGTTTCATTTTGGAATATAACAAGAAACTCCTCCAGGCTGATTAGCCCATCACAATTTTTATCTAATTTTTCGAAGATCGATTGAGTGATCTGTAAATTATAAAAGTAGGCGTGAGCTAAATGCGTATCCAGAGTGAATCAGTAAGAAATATCATTTAACACGTTGACTGCAGCGTCACCCATATTCGGGTTTCGCAAAGTTTCTCGTCGTGCCGCGTCACCCGTTTTCGGGTGACGCTTATTTGGCTACATACAAAGGATCGTTATAGGCATTTGAAAAGATATTCCGCAGGATGTAATAAAACTATTGAATTGTTAAAATGGTCAATTGTAGTTTCTTCGGTATCATCAGCTCTTCCTTCTTCCTCAATGATCAATTCTTGTAAAATTTCGTTAATTGTATCTTCATGACACTCAATATCACTACGAATGCACTTATCAATATCCGAATCAGAATCAGACGATTGCTACTCATCGCTACTCTCCGAATTTGTGTAAGCCTCGCAACAGCTTTCTTTTTCATTGCTATTTGTCTTACTAAGAAATAACTTTTCCATTTCTCTTTTCGACATTGGAACGAATTAGGGCAGAGATTTTAAGTTATACCGCTCGTTATTTGGCAAAGATTCAAACTGATCGTGTGGAGTGGCGAGGTAATAAGTGAGGACCTCAGGTATTTAATAATGTAAACAAATGACCAAACATGACATCATGCAAACAAACGAAACGGGAAGTTCTTGCGAGTACGCTTGGTGCAGCTGCACTCGTGGCCTGAAGGAAATTTCATTGGAAACACGCGCGGCAGTCAACGTGTTAAAATTATTCACTGGTCATTGATTTCATTCTAGAAACTGTGAGAAGTACATTTGAATTTGTTAAAATACAAAGATAGTCATTTAATGATCAACAGCAACTCTACACACAGCACATTTTTATAAAACCATTAAACAAGTTATTTCGACTTCTTATTGACACCCTGTATGTTACCCAGAAAAAATTATGATATCACGAAGATTGTGTTGATAATGGTTCAAGTTTGAGAAATGATTACTCAGCAACAAATTATCGTAGGACGATAATTTTTCTTTTAAATGCTTTAATTTAATACGATAATTTATTGCTGAATATAGATCTTTCAAACTCGTGCAATTTTCAACAAAAATTTCTTGATGCCATAAGTTTCTTGAATAGCATATAATAAACTTCTCATAACTGCGTGTTCTTGTTGAATCGATGCATTAAAAAAATGGATTCCTCACCTGTTTTGGAAGAGCTGGGATACCTAAACAATTAGATATAAAAACCATCGTCGCAGAGTCTATATTTTCCTTTAAATACGGATTTATTTTCTCCCACAAACACTTCAGTCTACTTTCATCTACCACTATACCTACAAGATAACAAAACCGTCAGAGGGAACAAAAATAAATTAGCAGCATCGTAACAGAAACATACTTACCTGTTTTTATGTTTACAAAATCTACATTGGAACTGGAGTTATTAGGTACTAACGTATCGCATTTTCTATCTATGATGCTCGGACTGATATCGTTTTGTAACTCTGTTATGGCATCCTCCTGCGTACTCGTAACAGATCCTTGGGTCTTGCCTAATAACGTTAACAAAGCTGTTCTAAATTCTTGGAATGAGATAGACTGTTTCTCCTGTGCATGCTGTTGAATGCACGACTTCAACTCTTCACTATACTCTGTCAGATGTAGCTTGCGACACAAGTTAAGCCAGTCGTCGTTCCGCAGTTCAGTTTCTCCCTTCATTAAACAACTTTGGAACACAGCATAAAGCTGTTGTTCATAAGGATCATTGTTGTGTTCATCCATGGCATTCTCTTATTCTCCTTATTTATATTTGATGAAGTATAATGGATCTATCAAATGACATACCCTCAATTAACATCAAGAATAATATAGTAATATAAATTTTTTGTTATACCAATGATTTACAAATTTCAATCACACAATTTAACATTTATTATTTAGCATGAAAAAATTATTTTATAATAACATATATATGAACCCACGAAAACTGCTAGAGTCGAGAATCAAGTGCGTTACTAACGAAGTATGAACGTAATAAAATTCGAGCAAATGAACAAGTATCTATTCTGCATCTAATCAAATATTGTGAATACGTTAACCTCGAACCGACACTCGTTGATCGTCTGTAATAGATAAACGATGTTAAACGAGTACAAAATTCACGATTTAATTAAAAACCAGGCGTGCAAATATATAAGTAAAGCTATCAGTGCTGAACTTCGGATATTTTTTCAAATTGCGTAATATAAAATATGTTGCACTGTAAATTGTATTAGCAGCAAGTTGATTAGCGTGCTTATAATTGTGCCAAGAACGTAATTATACTTACGCATAAATGTGTGATTGTGAGAAAATGCTAGTTATCATATCTGTCTCTTGCACAGGATTGAAAGACCGAATTTCAAAATGATAACGTATATACCACTAAACTTTCACGAGTACACATGCATACGAGGATTGAGGAATGCTCACGTATTATAGTAAATCTCGTGGTTGTATATATACAGATTTATGGACGTACTACAATTATAGGTTAAATCATAATAACAAACGATAGGGAGCAGATTTAATATTTATTTTTCGTAAAGATTAATAACGTAAACATATCCTCTGATCTTGATCTATTGAAGCTTATAACTGTGTCTCCGGACGTATTAAACTGGACTGTAGATTATTTAATTTAACATCATTCTGTTCTGTTATTTTACAATTTATTATTTATCACTTAATGTAGACTTAATGCTTTTTTGAATGCAAGCTTCGTTTAAAATTTGTTTACAATAATCACGGTTGTTTTATAAACACAGGATATGTACAGTTACCCAAAACGATTCCCAACCCACTTAGTGTACACATAAAACTGGACTGTAGATTATTTAATTTAACATCATTCTGTTCTGTTATTTTACAATTTATTATTTATCACTTAATGTAGACTTAATGCTTTTTTGAATGCAAGCTTCGTTTAAAATTTGTTTACAATAATCACGGTTGTTTTATAAACACAGGATATGTACAGTTACCCAAAACGATTCCCAACCCACTTAGTGTACACATACATCAAACTGTAGGCTGGCAGTTCGTTCAGCTGCCGCCGCTGCGCTGTAGTCGCGCGCGTCACGAAAAACGAGGCTTGAACCTTTGGCGAGTGCCGCCATTCTCGTCCGATAGAAAAACGGGACTGAACGTGTGAAGAGTGGAAAAAGGTCCATTGCAATAAAGTATTAATTGGCAAAACTTTAGTGTTCTTCCTTTAATTAGCATAAAACGCGGATGGAGCGGTCTGGCTCTTGAAGAAGACTAAAATTAGCCTTCACCCGACAAAACGGTGCCGCCATCTAGCGTTCACGAGCCGCGGCTCGCTTCTCAAACCTGAGATAGAAGTCGCGACTCGCTACGTGCCGCTACTGTCCAATGTCCAAGACGGAATATCGAGAGGTGGTATTGTGGACTTATCACGTGGTCCCGGCGAAGAGACAACGACAACGTACTTCTTTATTTTCTTCGGCATTTTCTATCTATCGGGTACAGTCTATGCGTACGAAGTGAGCTGGCTAAACGATTCAACAGTGTAATATAAAAAACATAATTAATCCGAGAAGTGTGAAACGATGAAACTTGAACCACCAGTTTTCCCTGAACATTTCTTTTAAATACTTGTCCTCGGCTATCGTCAGAGAGTGATCGAAAATACTCGTTGCACCTGCTACTCGCTGTACCTTAAATGGTAAACAAATTACTAAGCTATAATAACTTTTGAGCTGTGGGTGGCTATACTGCTACTAAAGACTTGGACTTCCCCTTGGTAATGGGTGTTGCCACATGGGTTCTGGACTGGATTCTATTCATCAGTTGATTTTCCACCGGGCAGACAGTAACCTGCTGTACGATTCGTAGAGGCGGTAAAAAAACATTGTAAGTATACAATTCCGATTCTACGACAAGGTCGAAAATAACTCTTTTTCGACATAAAACCTCTTCGATATTGTTTATTGATTTTTACACGCAATAACGATTGTTACAATTATATAATTAATTCTCATATAATTGATACGCTTCTCTTTTTCACCTTTCACTGTACACTTGTGTTTATTTTTTTTTTTTACAGAGTACATATTGCTGAGGAGATTAGACAATTTGAAATTAGTATAATCCATTGAGTATTATAGATCGAGTCGTAATGAGTAAGACCCCAATAACTATTTTGCAAGAGATGATGGCGAAAAAGCAGAAAATGCCTACTTACGAGCTTATAGTTAACGGAGGAGGGACTCACATAAACACTTTTGTGTACAAAGTATCCTGCGACGGCCTATCAGCAACTGGCGAAGGGAGGTCTAAGAAAGACGCGAAGCACGAAGCTGCGAACGCGATGTTGAAAGCTATCGCTGCCCATAGAAGTTATCCGCAGTTGCCGGCGTCACCGGCGGAATCTCCCGTTAGAACGCCTCTGCCGCCAAAAATACCGAAGGTGCAGCAGAACGAACCATTCGTGAATGCAGTTGGTAATCTCCAGGTAAGCTCGGTTCGTTCGATCGTTGGATCATCTTTGTAGCTTGTGCATTTTTTTTACAGACTCTGTGCACTGACAACAATTTGAATTCACCTGAATATCAATTGATCAGCGATGTCGGGCCTTCGCACGCTAAAATTTTCACCATTCAGTGTAGGGTGACTACTTTTGTTGAAACTGGCATCGCGAAAACGAAGAAACTGGCTAAGCAAGAGGCTGCAAAGAAGATGGTAGACAAACTGAGCGACTTGATACCTGACTTATCTCAAATAGAGACAAAGCAGTACGACGAGGAGAGTCATCAGCTTGCCAAAGCTCGGTACCCCGCACTATCCAGGTTACCAAAAAAGATCAGTATGGGCGTTAAAACATCGGACTACCATACGATATTCAGAGATTCCCTTGAGCCCGACGTGCGAAAAGAGTTGATTTCTAAATTAAAGACTCTCGTCGAAGATAAAAGCACGACCAAAGTTGTCACGCCGGCCGATGTACTAGAGTTAACGAATAAGTTCAAGGAAGTATTGGCGTTTGTCAATTTAGAAATGGTGGTTCTTGATATTTCATCGAAAGAAAATACATTTGTCGTGGCTATGAGAGTGAACACTTCCCCTGATATCGTACAAATGTCGATAGCGAAACGTAAACTAGAGGCTGAGTTTCATACGTTAATAAAGTTAATTAATTCGATGCTCGTATTTTTGAAGTAGGATAGTAAGAAAACAAAAGCGAGCGTCGTTAAAATCAGGCGCGGGAAAGTTTGTTTTTCAACTTGTAAGAAAAGCACATTTGTTTTCTAATTTAAGTATTTATATTTCAAAGTGATATTAGGGAATATCGTCATTACGATGAACAACAGATGTAATTCGTAATTATTTTTGTACCAGATTAGTAGAAACATTCTCTTTCTAAGTCTACCCGTGTAAATACGAGAGTAATAATTATATTATACCATTCGCATGGCTATTAGTGTCGCATGGCTATTAGTTTAGTCTTCCATTCGTCTTAACTTCCATCCATCAAAGCGGAGATGTTAGATTCTGATTTTGTTTTTCTTCTTTTTGTTTTTGCAGAATTTTGAACGGTTCCTATTCCAATGCAGAAATGTCAAAGACTAAGCAATGATTATCGAATTAAGTTGAGACCTCTGCTAATTGTCGTATGCAATCGAAGCGTAATCGACATCGAGTTTATTTTACAAATTATTCATATATATATTGTAAGTTACTATTTTATATAAACATACTTGTCTATATTTGTTACATTGAAGCTTGATTGTACAGCCAGACTGCAATCTATATTGAATTTAATAAACAACGAGCAAATTCAATTTTAATCATTAACATTATTTGATGTCACATAAGAGCGCTACACCTCGTAACGTCCAGTGCCTAGGATTGTGATCGGTCTCGAAATCTATCGATCCGATATACTTGGAATCGGTCCTCTGAGGTTTCCTGTATATAGGACACTCGTAAAGCTTCGGGTCCTTCCCAGCAGTTGTGTTTATCGCGTAAATGTAGATCACCGGCATTTGTTCGTACAGAACCTTCGGCTTGCTTTCTACTAATTTTCTCGTTTTCCGATCGAGCGATGCACCCTCCAAGAACAATCCATGTACGTAGACACCCTCCTGTGGCTGATTTTTTATGTCCTCCTTGTTGAATCTTGTAATCAAATTTTGTAACACGACAGAGTCAAGGGCCCATCCTTTGTGCGCTCGAGTCACCTCCTACGAATTTTTAATAAGTATAAAACGAAATTCATTTCCGAGTTTGTTTAAATGTTGTTTGTTTCCATTTTTAAGGTTCCACAGTGGCTTATGAAGAAATTATTCTTATTTCAACGGAATAACTCGACGTCCGTATACTTTCATGAGCGACTGTATATTGAATTTGTAACTAACTTGTCGCATCGCAGTTAGAAATCCTTGAGGATTGAAGAAGCCGGTCATCCAGAAGACCTTGGGTCGGCCGTGGATGCACCATTGCCTGAACTGGTGGTCCCGCTCTAAGAGTTCTGTGTACCAAAACCCAAGCGTTGCTGATTCCCACGAGATTTTCAACCACTTTTCTGGAATCCGGGCGTCGTACATAGCGTCGAGAGACTCTCGCAAGCCTTGGCTCATCACGATGGTACCGTCGATGGCCAGTTTCAAATCCGTCAACGTACGACGTACTTCGTTGATTACTCTCGAGATTCTAAATAAAATAATAAAATATTAGAATACATGCTCAATGAACGAGCATGCTTATTCTATTAGGGTAAACCAAAA